AACTGATGGGATTCATTATCGTTTTTGCTTTATTGCGTGCTTTGCTGAGTTTTTTCAAACATTTCTCGTTTTATGTGCTGATTCATATTTTATGGAGCCTTTTCTGGAGAAGATTTTTTTCAGGTGGTGAATGCGGTGGTGGCTCTCCATTACTCGTACTCGTTAATTCGAAATCTGGTGATAACCAAGGGCAGCGTATGATCCGAAAGTTCAAGCGCCTGTTGAATCCATTGCAAGTGTTTGACATCATTGCGACGGGACCTGATTTTGCGTGAGTTTCCTGCTCGAAAAATTTTTCTGTTCGTCCTCACCTCCTATTGTTTCAGGCTTTCCTTTTTTGATGCCCTCGATTCCTTCCGAGTACTCGTTTGTGGTGGCGACGGTACTGTTGGTTGGGTTCTCGGAGCTTTTGATCGTTTAGCGCTCCACAATAAGGTTAATCATTTGTAACGTTGTTGTATTTTTGTTTTGCTTTTTTTGTACTCGAATTGTTGAAGTACTGAAAATGACATTGATTTAGTTGCCAGTCACCTTCGAACGAAAGCTTTACTATCTTTAGTGTCAACTTGCCATTCTACCACTTGGCACTGGAAATGATCTGGCTCGTGTACTAGGATGGGGACACGCTTTTTACGATGATACTCAACTGCCGCAACTTTTGAGAACGTTTGAACGAGCCCATACGCGTATGCTTGATCGGTATGTTGATCAATGATTAAAAGTGAAATTTATGTTCTAAGCTATTCAGAAAATGTTCTTATGCTGAGTGAAAGTAGTCTGACACGTACCTTATGCTTAGTTTCGAAGGTGGTTATCCCATACATTCTGGTAAAAAGATTGATGTTCCGATTGTATTTGGCCCTAGCCTGTCGCGTTTTCCATACTCTCACTATGCTTACCCGATTTGCTTTGTGAATTGACTATACATTTCGTGAAAGTAATGCTGAAACACTTTCTGAGGAGCGAGCGCCGATATAGCTTTGCAGGGCTGAGTCTGCAAGCACCCAAACACCTGGTACGCCTAAACCATTGAGGGTGTACTATACTGACAGCTCGCCCAGCTTCGAATGTTCGTGGTCCCGCCCGCCAAACATGCCCGTGATGCGGACCAACAAACCGCTATCATCACCCCAATGCCCCGCCTACACTTATTCTGCGCGCCGGACGTCCTCCATACTCCGTCGAAGGCCGCGCTGCGTCCCGCGCGCGCTCCTCGCAACCCTCATTACTAAAATCCTTAAAAACCGGCTCGCTTTCAAATACAAGTAAAACGCAATTTCCTGATCGGATAAATGAGAGAGCGAGAAATAAGAACAGAAATGATCGACGAAGGGCCAGAAACACCAAGAGCAACTCGGCTGCGTCTGGCAGTATCCATCGTAGGCCGCGCATTCCCGGATTCGCGCCGGATCGTAGAAATTTACTGGCGATTTTACCTAATTTGCCTATCCTTGGTTTTTTCATTTTCGTTTTATTTACATTTACATCGGCTGTGCTTCATTCTAGCCTGTCCCATCCTTCATCTCCTTGTACATGGATTTTGAAGCATGAGCAACACCTAAAATTTTATTCGCATCAGGAAATTGCGTTTTGCTTGTATCAAACTAACGAGTATGCCGTTTTTTTCATGTTTCGTGGAACGCGGCTCTCGAGGGATGTTGCAGAAGTGGCACAGTTGCTTTTAAGTTCTGACCCTCGTCATCATCTTCTGTTCTTATTTTGTAGCACCTCCAATGTTATCCGCATCAGGAAATTGCGTTTTACTTGTATTTGAGAGCGCAATTAAAGGACTTGGCAAAGTGCCAAGGAGCCGCACGCGACACGCGCGCTTACGACGGATGTTATGAAGGACGGGAATCTGCGCCGCAAAAAGGTGTAAGCGGAGCATGGAAGAATTAGCGTGTTTCACGGCCCTGTATCTCCATTCCTGGGCATGTTTGGGCGGGGGACCACGACACATCGACAGCTGGGGGGCTGATAGTCTCATACACCCTCAATGTGTGTGAGCGTACTATGTGTCTTCAAATACATTCCCTGTACCATTAGTAAAATTATATCCATTGTCATTTTTAGCTGG